TGGAAGGCAGCAGAAGACTAAGGCATGGCAAGGTACTTCAAACTTCCTGTGATAGTGAAGTGGTAAAACAAGTGCAACCAAGAGCAGAATTTAATTTTTTTCATATTAATTAGTTTTATTTGGAATAATTATTTGTACCTATCCTATTGGACATTACGCCTTCATGGAGGTACAAATGAGTTGCTCTGCCTAGTGAAAATAGGCTGTTTCATGGGCATCTGACCTCCTGCAGGAAGCCAATCACATTGCTGCCTGTCCACCAAGTTTTAGAATGCAGCTGCATCCACTAGGATAAGATCTAGGTATCACAGGAATGTGCAAGACTAGAATGCCACACTGGTGGGCATGAGATTCCTGGGCTCCCTGGAAGGTCTGTTACAGCTCCCACTTTACATCTTCCAGTTAACACATTGCCAGGAGACAGGACTTTCACTGGCTGCACACCTGAGGATAGGCATAGACGTGGTCCTCCCTGCATCTGTCATCCTAGAAAGGACAACAATGTAAAGAGATGGAAGCATTCTAAAGGAAAGCATAAATAGGAAAAGGAAAGAACCAGGAGACAGCAGTTATGAGGAACCAGCGCAGATTTTTCAAAGTAAAAAGGTGGTTTCTGACACTTGGCAGCTTTCTGGCATTTCAAATGCACTTGATGGAAGGTACCGTCAAGAACTTGAGTCTACAGTACTGGTAAACACAATATTGATGAGAACATGTTCTTTTCTTCTCTCTCTCTAAACAATATGATGAGATTATAGATATGATGATGCTGTTCTTTGCAGATCACAGAAGGTTTGAACTTCAAGCTCAGAGTATAACAGATACCTGAACTCTAGGAATAAAAGAGATGACATACCTGAAAAGTGTAAATTGGGCATTAAGGGAAGCATAGGGTGTTATTTCCTGTTAAACACTCATTGAATAAGACACCACCACGAAATTTGGAAAAAGTAGTAGGGCATCATCTGTGGTTTGTAGTACTTATAATAATTACATTATAATTTCAAACATAGTGCCAGGTCCATTGAGGGTGAGTACATTCAATAAACACAAGTCGAAGGCTAAACCATGGCTTGCTCAGCCTGAATTGGACATTGTTCTGAATTAGTATCTTCATGTTAGATGAAAATGTCACCATGTATGTGGTCTATCTGCTGTGGATTTCTGGATATTCTGTAAGATGAGGGTTAGATAATGTAACATGATTTGTTATCAAATGTAGAGCATAGACTTCTGCCAAGAACATGAAGTAGACATACTTTTCCCTCTCCCCCATCATTAAGTGCAACTAAACATCATGGAAATTGTGTGTGTGTGTGTGTGTGTGTGTGTGTGTGTGTGTGAAAGGATTAAAAAGACTTTGAAAATTGGAATGAAAACTGATCAGTCAGAGACTGATCAAAAACCTCAAGTTTCAAAGAATGACATAGTAGTGAGTTCCACAGGTTTTCTTTTTGCCTCATTTATTTCCAATTTGGAACTAAAAAAACTAACCACCTAGAAATGCCCATGGGCACAGATAAGAAAAGCCCAACAAATACTTTCTGTCTCTAGCCAAATAAGAAAGCTAAAATAGCAAAACAAATGTGTGTAGGTAATCATTCTTCCATGTCAGACTAAGACCATAGAAAGGGCTGTGACTTTGCCTTTCCAACTGCAAACTATAGCAGCCAAGGCCAAGTGAAGTACTTAGACTTCTATATTTATGAGGCTGTAATGACACTGTGTTGTGCGACGTTTCCTGAGGAGACATGAACAAGTGTCACTTTATCCCAGTCAGGGCCCTAAGAAGAGTCCAAAGAAACAATTTCACCCAAGTTTAGCTTGAACAAACCAATGAGTTTATTAGGGCTGCTTACAAGAGCAGAGTTGAGGGATGACTTATAAAGGCCACTCAACAGTAGCTTTATCAATGAAAGGCCCATCTCAGTATGAATGACAACTCACAAAAAATGCATCCTTGGAGCTCCTCATTCAACTGGCTAGCAACTCCACTACCAGAGTCTCCTCCTCCCAACAATTGTTTACTGCTTATATGATCTTGGGGAGGACCCTTGTGAATCTTGTAACTTTCTGAGCTACTTGAGTCTCTTGAGTTCCCTTAGTTTCCTGAGTTTTAGTCTTATGAGCTTCCTTCTTCCCTTTTCAGTTTGAAGGAAATAGCTCCAGGATACCTATCCTTAAACTCCTATCAAGGGGGTGTCAGAGAAGGCCACGTGGAAACTTATCTCCCTCAGGTGTAATGAGGTAGCTTCCCCACAGTGTAAGAGGAGACTACTATCTGAAAAGCCAGAATTTTCACCCTCAAGTAATGAGATGCCTGTTATATCCCTGCTGGGGTGGTATAGACAAAGATCTGAAAGAGACTTGAGGCTTTGACATTGCTCTGTGGTATTGAAAGCCTCTACATGGCAGTTCCTGTGGACATTACAAAGAGAACCAATCCAGGGTCAGAAGGAACTTCAGTTATCCATGGAAAGATTAAATCCAGAAGGGAGACTTCTAGCTCCATCTGTAGTAGCCTTTCCTTACTTTTCCATGCCTAAACAGTGTCAGATGAAACTAGCTATAAAGATTTAAATAATGCCTACAATCTCAAAACACAGTATTGAAAACATGCAACTCCTTATCAAGAAGAAATGAGACAGGAGAGAGAAAAAAAATTGTGACTATCAAGCATGAAACAAGGGCTGCCACTGCAGATTCAGAAGACAGCAAAGTGATAACAATGTACTGTGAGCACATCTGCAACTTAGCTGAAATGCACCATTTCTTGAAAACACCACCTACTATACTTCACTCAATATAAAGCAGATAATGTAAATAATTCTGTAATATTAAGGAAAGAGAATATGTAATTTTAAAATGCCTCCAAAAGAAATTTCCAGGGAGCTGAAAAGATGGCTCAGTTGTTAAAAGTACATAGTGCTCTTGCAGGGGACTGAAGTTCAGTTCCTAGCACCTACATCAAGCAGCTCACAACAGTTTTTAATTTTAGTTACAAGGGATCCGATGCCCTCTTCTAGCCTCCCTGGGCACCGGGCACCATGTGGTATAAATACACACATGCAGATAAAACAGTCATACACGAAAAAAAATACACCTTTCAAAAAATTTTTAAAGAATACAGATAGAGCAGAGTATTCAGCTTGGTAAGGATCTACCAAAATCCCACAGCTGCACTCGTAACATCAATGTTTCACTTAACAGTGAAAGGCTAAACCCTTGTCCTGTAAGATTGGGAATAAATAAAGATGTCTACTTCCATGGCTCTTACCCAAAACAGTGCTGAAAGGTTTAATAGTATAATAAGCTAGGAAAAGAAATAAATGATGTATAGATCCAAAAAAATGAAAGAAAACTAACCCTATTTGCAGATGAGCTGATTGATTACATAGAAAATTCCAAAGTCATCCACACAAAAGTCCTACAACCAATCAATAAGTTCAGCAAGTGTGTAGGATAGGAGATAAACATACAAAAATTAACTATATTTTTTGTCTTTTTGAGACAGGGTCTTCTGTAGCCCCAGTTGGCCTAGAACTCACTATGTAGACCAAGCTAACCTTGATTTTACAGATATCTGCCTGCCTCTGCCTCCCAAGTGCTGGTATCAAAGGCATGCACCACCATACTCAGCAACACTCAATTGTATCTTGTATACTAACTTGAACACCAAAATAAAATTGCAACTACATATACATATATATATACACATCTATATGTACATATATGTAAGCCTAAGAAACATGCACAGAATATTACCTATAATATACAATAATGGTAAAGGAAACAAAGAAGATCTAAATAAATGAAAAGACATATCTTAGTCATATAATGAAAGACTCAACAATACACTGTCAAAATCTCAGTTTTTTGGTAGATATTGACGAGTTGTTTAATTTTATGTGGAAAGACAAAGGAATTAAATTGGATAAAATAACTTTATAAAAGGATAAAGGAAGAGAAATCAGTCTATCCGGTTTTAAGTGTTGCTGCACAACTGCAGTGATGAAGCTTGTGTGGTACTGGTGGAAAAAGGAGGACTACATCCGCAAAACAGACCGGAGAATCGGAAACAGACCCACATAGACATGCTAACTGATTTTTGGCAAAGATTCAAAGAAACTCAATAGAATAAAGAGAGTCTTTTCAACAAATGATGCTGAAGTAACTAGATACCCACAGGCAAAAAAGAAGAACCCTGTCTTAAATCTCACACTTTTTATAAACACTAACTCAAAATAGATCATGGACAAATATAAAATGCAAAGCTATAGCATTTTAGAAAACGCATCAGAAAACATTTTGGAGATCTGGAGCTAAGCAAATACTTCTTAGATTTCACACTAAAAGCACAACCCTTAAAAGGAAAATCAGTAAATTACACTTCATCAAATTTTAAACTTCTGTTTGCAAAAGATCCTTAGAGGAAGTTGGTAAGCTTCAGAGTCCGAGAAAATAGTACAAAGCATGTATCTGACAAAGAAGTGGCATTTCAAATCTATAATAAATCTCAACATATAACCATAACACAGCAAATAATCCAATTAGGAAACATGCAAAAGATGACACATTTCACCAGAGAAAATGAGCAGATACCAATAAACAAAAATAGACGTTCAGCATCTCTCTATTAGGGGAAAGGAAAGTAAAGCCGAAACAATCTACTACTATCCTACATTAAAACAACTAAAAGGTTAAAATTTAGGAAGACAAATGTAGCTGGGTGTGGTAGTTCGAGCGCACCTATAATCCCAGAACTAGGCAGGCTGAGATAGGAGGGTTGCCATGATTTCTGAGCCAACCTGGGCTACAGAGTGCATTCCAAGTCAACCTAGACTAGAATGAGACCCAAATTTTTTAAAAAGTAAAAACCTTGGCAATATCAAATGTTGGTGAAGGTATAGAAATTTGAATCACACATATTTCTAAAAAGAATAAAAAATGCTACAGTCATTTTGGTAAAGATATTGGCACTTAATTCTTTAAAAAAACAGCTCGTAGCCTCTGCTGTCCCGCGGCGCCAACCGAACAGCCCCGCCCGCCGCTGCCGTCCAACGTGCTGAACCGTGCTCTGTTGTGCCTCGCCCTGGTCTTGGTGGCCTGGGTGGGCGCCAACGTCCCGAAGGAGGAGGACCACGTCCTGGTGCTGAAGAAGGGCAACTTCGCGGAGGCTCTGGCAGCGCACAGCTACCTGCTGGTGGAGTTCTATGCCCCATGGTGTGGTCACTGCAAAGCTCTGGCCCCCGAGTATGCCAAAGCCGCTGCAAAACTGAAGGCTGAAGGTTCTGAGATCTGTCTAGCAAAGGTGGGTGCTACAGAAAAGTCTGAGCTGGCTCAGCAGTCCGGTGTCTGCACACCACAATCAAGTTCTTCAAAAATGGAGACACGGCCTCCCCCCAAGGAATATACAGCTGGCAAAGAAGCTGACGATACCGTGAACTGGCTGAAGAAGCGCACAGGCCCTGCTGCCATCACCCTTTCTGACGCTGCAGCTGCAGAGTCCTTGGTGGACTCAGGTGAGGTGGCTGTCATCGGCTTCTTCAAGGACCTGGAATCAGACTCTGCCAAACAGTTCCTGCTGGCAGCAGAGGCCGTCGATGACATACCCTTTGGGATGACGTTCAACAGTGATGTGTTCTCCAAATACCAGCTCAACAAAGATGGAGTGGTCCTCTTTAGGAAGTTTGATGAAGGCCGGAACAACTTTGAGGGTGAGGTCACCAAGGAGAAACTGCTGGACTTCATCAAACACAACCAGCTGCCTCTGGTCATCGAGTTCACTGAGCAGACAGCCCCAAAGATTTTTGGAGGTGAGATCAAGACACAAATTCTGCTGTTCCTGCCCAAGAGTATGTCTGACTACGATGGCAAGCTGAGCAACTTCAAGAAAGTGGCCGAGGGCTTCAAGGGCAAGATCCTATTTATCTTCATTGACAGCGACCACGTTGACAACCAGTACATCCTTGAATTCTTCGGCCTTAAGAAGGAGGAGTGCCCAGCTGTGCCGCTCATCACCTTAGAGAAAGAGATGACCAAGAACAAGCCCAAATATTACAAACTGATGGGCTGAGAAGATCACAGTTTGGTCACCACTTCCTGGCCGGCGAGATCAAGCCCCACCTGATGGATGAGCCAGGAACTGCCTGAAGATTGGGACAAGCAGCCTGTAAAAGTACTGGTTGGGAAAAACATTTAAGAGGTTGCTTTTGATGAGAAAAAGAATGTCTTTGTGGAATTCTATGCCCCATGGTGTGGTCACTACAAGCAGCTGGCCCCCATCTGGGATAAACTGGAAGAGATGTACAAGGATCATGAGAATATCATCATTGCCAAGATGGACTCGACAGCCAACGAGGTGGAGGCCATCAAAGTGCACAGCTTTCCCAAACTGAAGTTCTTCCCCTCAAGCTCAGACAGAATGGTCATTGATTACAATGGTGAACAGATGCTAGATGGTTTTAAGAAGTTCCTGGAGAGCGGTGGCCAAGATGGAGCAGGAGATGATGATGACCTCAACTTAGAAGAAGCTTTGGAGCCAGACATGGAGGAAGATGATGATCAGAAAGCTGTGAAAGATGAACCGTAATGGAGACACCAGACCTGAGCACCCCAACCCAAAACCTCGGTGGGCCACGCTCCCAACAGCCCACAACTCCAGAGCCTGACCCAAGGAGGGCATGTCCTCGGAACCCAGAGAATCTTTCCGAAGCCACACTTATTCTAATACCCATCTCTTCCTTTTGCTTTTCAAGTTTTTGGAACGGGATTTATCTCCAGGCCAGCCCATCTTGAAGGGCTACATTTTTTTAATTGTGATGTATTTTTTTGTACATGGGTTTTGTCCCAAGTGCTCGCCAAAATGTTTGGATTCTCACACTGTAATGTCTTTCCTGTGAGGTCACACTATCACTTCAGATTCCATCTGTGAGACTGAGGCATTTCTCGATGTCAAGGTATTCTATCGTGGCCTGCTTCCCTGAGACTCCTCCCTGCCCTGTGTGGATAGGGATGGATGAATCTGGACTGAACAGGGTCACTGTCACCTCTTACCAGTGTTGCCATGACAGCATGGCTTTTGCAGTTTTTGGTTAACCAGGGACTTCTGCATCCTGTCAGAGGGTGGACCCACCACATGTGGAAGAGGGCAGTGAGGCTGGATACAGGGCCCAGGCCAGGCCTGGAAAACTCCCCTCCCTCTCCTCAAGCTAGGACTACCGGCCAGCCCACTGTGAGCATGTCGCTGTGTGACTGCTGGGTTCTCTTCCAGCATGGCCTGTGACCTGTGTGAGGCAAAACCAGGACCCTTGATTTCCAGGCTGAGAGTCAGCCAAGGACACTAGGGCCAAATCAAACATCCATTCTTCAAGCATTTCTACCATAATATTGGAATTGAACACACTAGCCAAATAAAGTTGAAATTTTACTAGTCAAAAAATAAATAAATAAAATAATAAAATTTAAAAAGTGATTATGTAACCTACCAGTTGCATTTTTAGAGTTGTATTCCTGGAAAATAATAAGAGTTATGTTTAGTGGCAAACCTACACACAAAGGTTGATACAAACTTTATTCAACATATTGAAAGTATAGAAACAGTCCAGATGTGCTCCAGTGGGTAAGTGCTCAACCATACTTGTCCTTCAGTACCATGATATAGTACCAACAATGAGAAGAACTGTTGGAAAATCCCCAGAGAATCATGCTGAGTGGAGAACAGCATTCTTGAAATCACAAGAAGAAAATATGATAGAGATTGACATGGAGCGGTCAGACTGGGTGTACCGGGTGTAGTTTTGTGGTGACAGAAAGGTTCTGTGTTTTGACGGTATCATTGTCATTATATAGTTTGATATGGTGCTACACAGTGTTACATGATTCTACCATTGGCTTAACTGAATAAGGGATATACAAGGTCACTCTGTATTATTTATTACAACTGAATATGAATCTGCAATTGATGAAAAATAGAAGATTTGATAAATCCACAGCACTGAAAAGGAAAGAAATATAATAGAACACAAGGAACATTTGAGGTAAGAGTAGAGAACACAGCTTTCTTCAAACTGTTTCTGCCATTATTTGAAACTTGCATGTATTTGAAGGTCTAGCACATGAAGGAGAAAAAGCAGACATTTTTAACTTTACAAGATAAAACTGGGGGGAAATTAAGAAACAGGAGAAACAGATTGAGGTTCATTGTAGGAAAGAACTTGGCAGCAGTGAAGCAAAAGGTGTCCAGTTCTAGCGCGGGTTGCCTGGAGAGCTGAGCCGCTCTGTGAATGCGCTCAAGTAGAAAGAATGCTTCAAAGGCCTGACTGCATTTGGAAAGAGTTGGACCTCATCTGGAATCACAAATTCAAATGCCAACAGAAGCCAGAGAATGAGCATGAACTACCAACACAGGCTACGGGCAAGAAAGAAAAGGTGACAAGGCCGATGGAGAACTGCAGAGGCCATCTGCCACTCAACTCCCAGTGACTGTGGCCTCATAAGAATGCTGGCCCAGCCAAGCTGAATTGGTAGATGTTTTCAAGACCAGGTAGAAATGCAGCTTTTCTATGAAATGCTGTGAGACCTACAACTACGTAGTTCAAATAAAACATATATGGAATTTGTTCTATTGTTTTAATTTTAGCAGTTTAATCTAGGAAAAACAAACGCTCTCTATCATGTATTCCTGCTTGATAATTTCAAACAACATTTACAGTGATATGCCATCATGCATTGCTCCTTCCATGAAAGGATCTCAGAGTTGCTTTCATCTGTATCTGCTGTTAGAACAATGTTTCTGTTGATGTCCGATGTCCTCTGTTATGCAGAGGTCATTTCTGAGAGTTTCAATTTTCTTGCAGACTATATCCTCTTTACCACACATTTGGGCAAAAATTAATGTTTATTTGTTCAAATTTACTTCACAAAGGTGTGTCTGTTCTCTGACATGATTGGAGCATTTTGAGGAAAAGTGTAAAATCTTATTTTGTTTTTCTGTCTACATCTTTCTGCTTACCAGTATTAGCACCACATAATAAATGCTCAAAAATAGCCACAACACAAAGATCTACTTAATACTGGACGCTGTGTCAACTAAAGTAACTCAACTATGTTCCTAGCCTAAAAGCAGAATGCGTTAGATTCAGTCCTCCCATTTGAAGACTTACCAGCAGCATCCCACCTCCCTGCCCGTCAACAAGCTTTTCCGTGTTGCAGTTTCTGTACTGTTGCTACTCCTCCAGAAGTGCTCTGAAGCACTCCGACTCTCCAACGGGACTGGTTGAGGATGTCTATTCACTGCCTTGACCAAGAAGAAGCAAAGGCAGCAATCAAGCTCTACACTCCATGCATTTTATAATAACTGTGTTTTGGGAGGCCTCTGCATTATACAGAAACATAGAAGATCCTTACCAACCAGCAGAGGAGGCCAAAGACCCATTTTCCTTATTTCTTTTTCTTTCGGTTTCAACTAGATGTTATGGTATCGGTGTCTACTGTTTCTTTGGTACTTTTAGGATCCAACGGCAAGCAGAATTTCTACAGTTTAGGTAGTGATAGAAATTGTAGCAGGTGCCTCAGACAACAAAGAAAGTAATTATCTGGAGCTAGCAAGGTCTCCAACTTTCCATTTACCAGCAGACCCTGAGATTTGAGTTGTGACTATATTTTGGTGTTTGAAAAACATAAAATTACAAGAATTCAGATAATTTTGTGTTGGAGAAGGAAGAACACATGTGTGTACACACACACACACACACACACACACACACACACACACTGCTTGCCCAGCAAATAAAATGAAAAAGTAAACGTCCATTTAAAGGTGATCGACAACAAAATGCAATACTTTTTTAACACAAGTAGCAAAGACAAAGTTCAGCAAATTGAATCCTAACAATGTTTTTATCAGTACCTCTCAAGATGAGAGGTATTTGAATAAACTCACTATAAAGAAATGATAGACATGAGCCAGGCTTGGTGGCACATGCCTTTAATCCCAACACTTGGGAGGCAGAAGCAGGTGAATCTCTGTGAGATTGAGACCAGCTTGCTCTACCTAGTGAGTTCCAGGCCAGTTGGAGCTACAGGAAGACCATGTCTCAAAAAGACAGACAGACAGACAGACAGACAGACAGACAAAAGAAAGGAGGGAGGGAGG